GAATCATGCAGGACCTGTGTTAAAGAATTTGGGATTCTCTGAGAAGAGCCATCGAGTGGATGAAAGGAAATGATTTTCAATAATGCGATGCCTGGTTTGCTGCCGCGTAGATTTAGGATGGTCTAACACCTGACCATGTCCAAATGGATGGAAAAGGCAGCCGTGTGTAACCGTTTCATTCTAGACAAAGCCCATCCGTGGGCCTGTATTTTGTTGTTGTTCTTAGCAGAAGCCTAATTGTGTTTTGTGGTCAGGTCGGTGGAAGGCTTCAAAATCAACCTGATCCAGAGTGAGGAGCACTTTCAGAGTTACTGCAACAAGGTCTTCGCCGGCTGGGACTTCTGCATCACCAACCGCAGCGTGGCTGAGCTGAAACACAGCAGCCTGCGGTACGAGCTCCGAGTGAGTGCTGCTGGGTGTCCCTCTCCGTGGCTTCCTTGCCGGCAAGGTCGTGTCTTGGGAGGCAGGTGTGCCGCTTGCAGAGGAGCCAGGTCGGGGCTGGGTTGTCCTCCGTGTTTAGCAAGTTTCTCCTTTGTCGTTTTCCAGAGGTTTTTATTTCTTTTTACTTGTATTTTTAAAGGGTTTTTTTGGGGGGGGGCGGGGGCAGGGGAACTGTGTTTTTCCAGGCCCCATCAACTTCAAGTCAAGTAGTTGTTTCAATCTCGTTGTCGAGGGCGCATCTCAGTGGCCCATGTGGGGATCGAACCGGCAACCTTGGTGTTATGAGCACTGCGCTTTAACCAACTGAGCTCACCAGCTGCCCCTCCAGAGCTTTTAGCAGAGCACAGCTTCCTGGGGTTGATCACCTTAGGCTCAAGCATGGAGCTGGTGAACTGGGGCTGGGAAAAGAGTGGGGGGACATGCCAGCGGGTGTGAGGCGATGGTGCCCTCCCTCCTTTCTTGTCACCCTGTGATTTTTCTACTGCATGAGAACCTGTCACAAACATCACTTACACCAGGAGAATTGGGACTAAGGATGGAATGCTATGATGATGAGGTCGAGTGGAGAGAATGTGAAAAGTAGAAGAANAAGCCTGAGCTTAGAGCTGGCACAGAACCACTTCTGCATCATTCTGTGGTCTAAGCAGATGGTCAGGCCAGCAGTCCAGAACATAAATGTTTTTGAGGTTCATCCATGTGGCAGCGTGCATTAGTGCTTCATTCTTTTTTACGGCTGAATAAGATTCCACGATGTGGCTATCGTTCATTTGGTTTCTCCATCCATCTGTTGATAGACACTTGATTTGTTTCTACCCTTTGACTATTGTGAATAGTGCTGCTATGAACATCCCAGTGCAAGTTTTTGTTTGAGACCTTTTTTCCCCTTCTTTTGGGGCATCTACCTAGAAGTAGAGTTGCTGGGTCAAATGATAATTCCGTTTAACTTTTTGAGGAATGACCACTCTTTTTTTCCCTAGTGGCCACGCCATTTTACATTTCCCACCAGCCATGCAGGAGGGCTCCAGGTTTTCCATATCCTCTCTGCTGGGGTTTTATTTGATGCTGGGGTGTGACGATGCTTCCGTGGTCATTGGCAATGTTCATTTTTTTAAATGCAGGGACATTCAGGAAACCCAGATGAAGTATTTATCTGAGTGGGACCAATGGAAACGGTATAGCAGCAAGTCTTGGAGGAGGTTCCTAGAGAAGGCTCGGGAGGTGACGACCCACCTGGAGCTGTGGCGGAAAGATATCCGAGGCATAGAAGGTACCACGCCCCCCACTCTGCACGCCAAGCTCCTCCGCAGAAGTCTCCAGTGCAGCCTCATTTTCACTTGCCTTTAGCTGAAATCTAGCATTTCTTTTCGTGATGAATAGGAGCGATGCCACAGCTAGCATTAGCAGAGCCTGTGTCTTTGTCACCAGGAAAATCACAGATGTTTTTTTTTCCAGTTGTAATTATCTTGGGAAACCATTTATGCTTATCACGACCTTGACACGGCAGCAGGTGTCAGCTCTGCCCCTCCTCGTGTTATTTCACGTGCTAATGAAGATGATCATGTGTTACTCTGTCACAATTTTGGTTTTTCATATGATGCTACCCACAGGTCCGTTTGTATTTTGTGCATTGAAAACATTATCCTGAAATGGGGTTCATTAAGGCTTTCCCAGATTGCCACGGGTGCCCAAGGCCCTGGAGATAATGAGAGTCCCTACTTCTTCATGATGGCGACAATTGAGATGCAGAATTGCATTAGGCAGCTCGGGCTGCCATGACAAAGTACCATAGACTGGGGGGCTTAGACAACAGTCATTCGTTTTCTTACAGTTATGGAGATGGCAAGTTCAAGGTCCTTCTCACTGTGTCCTCACATGACCTCTTCTTTGTGTATGCTCATGGAGAGAGAGAGAGAGACAGAGAGAGAGAGAGAGAGAGAGAGANATAACCTGACTTTTTTATTATAGCTGCTTTGTCTGAAATGGAATTTCTTTGTGGTTTTGATCTGCATTTCCCTAGTAACTAATGCTGTTGAGTATCTTTTCATGTGCCTATTGGCGATTGTACATCTTCTTTGAATAAATATCTAGTTTGAGCCTTTTTCCATTTTTAAATTGGATTATCTTTTTATTGTTGAGTTATGAGTTTTTTGTATGTTCTAGATACATGTACTTTTTCTGCAAATATGTGATGTACAAATATTTTCTCCCATTCTGTGGATTGCCTTTCATTTTCTTCATCATGTCCTTGGAAGCACAAATATTTTTAATTTTGATGAAGACCAATTTATTTTTTCTTTTACTGCTTGTACTTTTGGTGTCATATCTAAGAATCCATTGCCAAATCCAAGTCATGAAGATTTAGTTATTTTCTTCTAAGAGTTGTATAGCTTTGGCTCTTACATTTAGATCTTTGATCCATTTAAGTTAACTTTTGCAAATGGTGTAAGATAGGGGTTCAAGTTCATTTCCTTGCATGTGGCTATCCAGTTGTCTCAGCACCATTTCTTTCTTTTTTTAGTTGAGCCATCCTGCCACCTGTTGGCAGATCAGCGGCAGCTCAGCTCGGGCTGGGAATCAAACTGGCAACCCTGTTGCTCAGAGCTCGCACTCTTGAGCGAGCTCTTAACCAACTGAGCCACTTGGCCAGCCCTCAGCACCATTTCTTGAAAAGACTATTTTTTCCCCGTATCAAAAATTGATTGACCATAAATGTATGGGTTCATTTTTGGACTCAATTCTGTTCTGTTGATCTATATGTCTTTTCTTATGGCTAGTACCACACTATTTTGCTTACTGTTGTTTTGTAGTAAATTTTGAAATTGAGATGTGAGTACTCCAACTTTGTTCTTCTTTTTCAAGATTGTTTGGGCTATTCTGGGTCCCTTGCAATTCCATGTGAATTCTGGGGTTAGCTTGTCAGTTTTTACAAAGAAGCCAGCTGTGATTCTGATAGGGATGTGTTGAATCCGTAGATCAATTTGGGGAGTATTGTCATGGATCTCCTGATCTATGAACATGGGATGTTTTCCCATTTATTGAGGGCTTTAAATTTTTTTTTGAATGTAAGATTTTTAAGAATATAAGATTAACATTTCACATATTAAATCTATTCCTAAGTATATTATTATTTTTGCTGTTATTGCACGTGAAATTGTTTTCTTCATTTCATTTTTGGATCATACACCTGTGTATTTTCAATGCTTAGGTTTTATCTGTACTTTATTCCCCAAACATTAACTGA